AGGTTGTATCCAACCCTGCTGTTCTGCTCATTTGTGCATCAATTCCCCTACCTCCCCTCCAGATGCCACCCCATGTGCCTCAAAATTTAATTCAGAGGACTGGTGGACCCTCTGAAGAAGGTTTTTGGGGCACATGATGATGGGGGAGAGGAAGGGGATGCAACATTGGCTACGTGCCTTTGTCCACTCAGATATAAGTCCCAGAGAATTCAGTGGGGATCACTCCCAGGTAAGTGGGGCTGGGAGTGCAACCTTATACAGCAGAATCGGGACAACAATGTATGGCTGAAACCTTTTCCATGTGCTGTAGTCCTGACAGAAACCTTCCCTTATATGGTATTTGCCCCAGGAAAGAAGCAAAAACTAGCACCAATTGCAGTCATCATTCCATTGGAAATAGCAGCTTTGAGGGGGGTTTTGGGGGGAAGGGATTGCCGCATCCAGTACAGACATAAATCTCCCTCCCCAAGCAGTGTTCTGCAAGTTTTCTTCTTTTGTGCTTCATCCAGTACTCAAAGCATTTCCTTCAGCAGAAAAGGTTTACATTGATGAAACTAGCAAAGACCATGTACATATTTTTATTTTTATTTCTTTAGTACATGTCTCTCCCACCTTTTCCCATCAGGGAACTCAACATGGCATACATGGTAGTTCCCAGTTGGTCTCCTATCTAACCACTGGCCAGACTCCGACCTCTTTTCAAATGTAACTCATGCGCTGAAGAAGTGAAATTTATTCATCCCCAGAACTGTGTGACCTGCTAGTGGGACAGTACATAGAGTTTTATTTCATGACCAATATGTTTCTTCTGTTGCATATTAATAGGCTTTTTAATGCAAGATATCAGCATTATTGATGCTGAGATGGCTTCTGTGTAACTGTGTCCAATTAACAATACCATAGGAGACAATTAGCATTGTTATGGCACTGCATAATAAGCCAATAAAATTTACTGACGATGTAAGAAACCATCATTGACTTTTTTTTTTAATGCTCAGCTATTTAAGCAGCTTGTGCATATTTTTCTTGCTGTTAACTCATACTTCAAAGCATACCATGTTATCATGCTAGAGGTATATAGGATTTGCCGAAGAAACAGAACTGTGGAGTGCCTGTTCGCTAATGACCATACACACATCACAATTCCAGGATCAGGGGAAGTCTATGTGTCTTGAGGTCTATGCAGATGCCTTCAGATGCCTATGCTACTGTGAGGACAGTAGGTCTGGAGTGAGGACAGGGCGCTGAGCATCACTGAGGGGCCTGCAGCATCTTCCAACTCCAACTCCACATTGTCCATTCATGAAAGAAATGTATGAAAAGGGATTCACCAGGTTGTTGTAAAGACTGAATTGGGTGCTGAAGGAGAATCCTGAGATCCTTGGAGGTCTAAATGAAATAATTTATTTCTTTCTCTCTCTTTTTTGTTGGCTGTTCAGTATCTAAAGATTCTGTCTCTATCTCTGTTTCTATTTTCCTCCAATTCAGTAGCAGTATGAAACACACAAGAAAACCCCTACAGACAAATGTTTGGTTCTGCTTCATGCCAATAATGAATTCTCATGAGAATACGCAAATGCTTACTGACAGTAGTTTGCAGGAGCTGCACACAAACAGTTCAGTTAAAAATTTCTCTCCAGTTTAGATGGGATAAAAGAAAACCCACAGAGCCTTTACACCAATCTGCTGTGCACAAAGTCATAAAAGTAATGCACTAGATGACCCTGGATGCTGTTAAAATATGCTTAATCCCAGCAAGAGATTTCCAGGTGCTTGAACATTCTGCACCTGCCAGCTCCAATGATAATGGGGTGCTGAGAGTTGGATCCTAAACTGGTCATGGATAAACACAACTAGCTGGCAGGGAGCAAGAAGGATTTACATGTGATCCATGTCTGTCCCCCCCCCCAATAGATATTAGATATTCCATCACGTTCATATGAATGGGCCCTATATTTTGGAGAACATCACTCCCCCATCTAGCTTTATTAAAAATGGAGTTGTTCTTGACTGGCACACATTGGAATACATTTCTTATTGGAACCTGTCACTGAGTAGCACACAACAGTCTTTCAGCCTGATTCCCTATGCTACTAAATAATACTGTATGAGCAGGAACCTTCTTTTGACACTTTAGGGCTCTGTATAAACCTGTGAATGGTGGCAGCCAGTGGCAGCTTTTCTCCCCATCATTCCTACATTAAAGTACACCTCTGTAACCTGCACCCACCCATACAAATATCCAGTGTGCAGGCCAGGCTCCATACAGTCAAGAACCCCCTCAAAATCAGGTGCCCCCAAAGCGCAGGCACATTGCAAGCCTGTGTTTCATTGTACAGAGAGCAGAGCCTACCATTGCCCATCATCTGTTATTCATTTTTCATGTGGAAATGATCCCTAAGAGGTGAGGAGGCTTTATGCTTCTGCTTATAAAAAATGCCATCCTTGTGGCAACCTCAACACACACACACCCTGTTAGAATTCCTGATCCATGATTGCAGTCATGGGACTTTTGTCTATCACATGACGCTATATGTTTTGACTCCACAGAGTGGGAAGTGACAAAGACAGGATGTTTGCGTTACTGTGTTCCGTGAAGTGGGACTATTGTCCTTTGTTCTTTTTCTCTTTGCTGTCAGATGCTAGAGAGAGAGGGAGCCATGTTGCTGTGCTCCGTGTGTGTTTATATGTAAATAAAGTAGATTAGCAAAAATGCTGAGTTGCTGAGGTCTGTCACATGAGATGCAAAAACTCTGCGGATCCCTAAGTGTGCCGGTGTCAGTTGGCTTCAGTCGCTGTGATGTTCAGGCTGAAGAAAGCTTATGAAGCTCCTGAACGATCGACCAGGAGGGAGAGAACATGCCAGTCTGGCATGTGTCTCTTCCAGGGTCCTACTCGAGTGTAGGCTGAGCTCTTGGCACACCCCTCATCCTGGAATACCAATCACTTAGGTTTGCAGGAACTGGGAAAGTTATGTGCATGGGATGTGGGGCCAAGTAGTGTCATATGTGGTCAGGATTAGACCAGAGGAACAGCCAGACAACACCTTTGTCCCCTTACTGCCACTTTAGGCACTGGAGCAAATGCCCCAAGATCACTCAGTGAGCTCCTCAATTCCAATCCAATAGTCACCACTGCAGCACACCAAAAGAATATCTGAAAGCTCTCGGCAAATATATATCTGGAGGATAGCAACACCATGGCACTTATTGAGCACCTCAGCTCACATGCCCTGTGCTGCCAAAATGTTATGAGTCTGGCAGGCATTATAATTGGGATAATTTTTAAAGATTTTTAAAACTTTTTTTTAAAAAAAATAAATGAATGGCAAGCTCAATCAATACAGCTGTGTGAAAGCCCTGATGAGAATTGCACTAATTTGATAAGCAGTCTTTCACTTAGTTCAAAATACTTGTTTCAAATCTTACTGTAGGCAAAATTTGTCTGCAGCTCTACCAAATGCCAAAGGCCACCCTTCCAGGAAAAAAATGTTACAGCGATCACTAAAAAAAGTGGAAAAAATAACAATCCAATTGATTTTTCTCCCTTCAGCGTACCAAAAAAAGCCACACTATGATTCTCTTACCTATAATGATGGTCAAACGCATTAAATTTAAATAATACTTATTTTCACTGAAGGTTCTGAAGATCAGTTGCCTCTCTTTGGGGAACCAAGAAAAACAAATAGTGGCTCCTAGCAACTAGAATTGATTGGCAGTTTCTTTTCTATCCTTTTTTTTTCAGTTTCTTCAAGAAGCATTTGTTCCTTGGTTTTAAAATGTTTCCCACAGACACAAACAAAAACAAATGTGTAAAACATGCATAGTATGCTTTAAAACTTCATGTATAAGGTATTAAAACACCAAAATAAACATGGATTCAGATTATTACACTTTAAAAAGCAGTGGAAATGAAACACTATCTGCATGATAATGGGAATATTATTCATTTATTGGCAATATGGCCACCATTTAGAAATTCTGACATATGTACACTGAAAGTATTCCCATGTTTAACAAAAGCCAGAGTTGATGAAAATGTTTCACAAGTCTTTGTACAACAATGCAAAGAAAGGTGGATTTTCAGTGTCTTTAATAATTGTGCCAGGGCTGTCAACCAACTAGGAGGAAATGGTCTATTTAGGCTGTTACAGAGTATTTGAAGAAAAGCACCAGTAGTGCCCAGGGTCATCATCAGGCAAAGTACTCTGATCACTTAGGAGTGCAGATCATCTGACGCTTCTGTTTTTGTTTAAAAATACAAAAATGAAAGATATCAAGCATACTGGGCACTACAACTGACAAGGAAGGACTGGTAGGTGGCTGCTGGATGCTCTCTGGTTGACACTGACCTATGACCTCCTACTTAAATATAACTCTTCCAAGCCATGCCTGTTTTTCCCCTCACTTAAAGTAATGTTGAAAGAATAAGGTGATTGCTTTTTACCAGTATTATTTAATTAGTATTATTCTTATTATTTATCCATCTATGGTAATTTTCAGAGTTCTGTAAATAAATAATAGGTAAGAACTTAAAACACACTAAATATGGAATTCTATAAAATTCTATATTAATATTTACTCAAATACGTAGAGGAAATTATTTCTGCATTCACAACGTATGGATGTTCCTTTCACTGCATCCTTGTTCGCTTTTAGCTACAGAAGGTTTGAACAGGGCAGTTCCAATGTACGTTTTCCAGTATTATAAAAAACAAAAAACCAACAGCATATTTCTCCTGACAGATCTCCTACGGCAATATACACGCTGATTACATGTTGTAGAAATCATTACTTTTGTTAGTTCTAAAAATTGCGGTCCTGTAATTTGCTTTAAAAGAATTGCTCAGAAAAGCCATCAGCCAAAGTAATGTAACCGATACCAGCAGGAGCCTCAATGAAGAACAAAGAAGTGGAAAAAAGACTCCTGGCTTTAGAGAACCGCAAGTACAGCAGAACGTTTTGTATCTATTGGTGCACGTACAGAACCCCCTTTTGGGAGGGGCTGTGGCTCCGTGATAGAGCACATGGCTTCCATGCAAAAGGCCCCAGGTTCCAACCCTGGCATCTCCAGGTAGTGATGGGAAAGGCTGGTGCCTGAAGCCTAGAGAGGCACTGCTAGTCAATGGCCAGTCAAGGCCAGACCAAGACATTTGGCCACCTGATGCAATGGACAAGGTGGCACCCACACATTCTTAGTCCATAAGTCAACAACTGCCCATTTACTTATTCCTTTTGGTTATTTGTTTCATTTATGAGTCACTTGCCTCAGGAGAAATTCCAAAACACTTGTTCATTTAAAAATCATAAGCAATAAAAGCCCATGTAAAAACCATCTCAAATTCAGATACATAGTAGGATAAGAATCTCCACTTACAAGGCCTATTGAAGAAAGAAGGTCCTCAGTAAGCACCAAAAAGACAATAGTTCAAACAGCACTGATTTGTAATGGGTGGAAGTTCCAAAGAGTATACACAGTCATGCTAAAGACCCAATACATGCATCATAAGACCTCCTGTTGAGAAGGTGTCTGCAGGTAGCCCTCTCCAGTGGAGTATGGTAATTGGTTGAGTATATAATGGGTAAGGCTATTACCATTACCCCCCAATGAGCCTCTCCATGAATCATGGCCAGTTTTGCTTGCATTTTAGAGTTATGCGGAACACAAACTGCTGCTATATGTCATGATTTCTGACATCATTTGTACTTGAAGTCAGCAGCTCACCATGATTCATAATTTTTGCATGGCAAACATCTTCTAAAACATACCTTGCAGCACACTGTATGCCCACGATACCAGACTTGTTTCTGATATATTTTGGTGAGAGTCATTGCCTTGTAATGATATTTTGAAACCTGAGAGGGACGTGATGTTAATGCAGATATATGGCTCTAATCTGGGAAAGTGAGTAACTTCTAGTAATGAAAGTGACTAACTGGAAACCAGTGGTGTGGAATGTGTGAGATGAAAAAATATTTGCTAGTCATGTGAAGCTTTAGAAACCTTATCCTCATTGCTGTGAAGGTAGTGACATGATTACAAGTGCACAAACACTTCAGAGTCAATCAAATACGGCTTCTGCTTTTCCATTTTCTCCTACATTTTCCTGAGTGCTAAAGTCATTTTTGCAAGGTACAAAAATCAAAGAACCAGCACCTAAATGCATAAGGTGTAATAGTAAACAAAAAGTGAGTGGTTACAATCACTAGGCTGGCAGTAACATTCACAAAGACGAATGTAGAAAGCACTGCGCTCCTTGCAAATGTATTTGACTAATTATTTGTATTTGTTATTCCAGGGCATTACTCTAGGGCATTAAGGCCTGGAATAAATAAGCAGAAGGCATAACAACAGCAGCAGCAGCAATAATAATTTTATTATTTATACCCCACCCATCTGGCCTGGCTTCCCCAGCCACTCTGGGCGGCTTACAACATAGCTAAAAACATAATACAGTGGTACCTCGGGTTAAGTACTTAATTCGTTCCGGAGGTCCATTCTTAACCTGAAACTGTTCTTAACCTGAAGCACTACTTTAGCTAATGGGGCCTCCTGCTGCCACTGCGCTGCCGGAGCCCGACTTTTGTTCTTATCCTGAAGCAAAGTTCTTAACCTGAAGCACTATTTCTGGGTTAGCGGAGTGTGTAACCTGAAGCGTATGTAACCTGAAGCGTATGTAACCCGAGGTACCACTGTAAAAGCATCATTCCTTAAAAACTTCCCTAAACAGGGCTGCCTTCAGATGCCTTCTGAAAGTCAGATAGTTGTTTATTTCCTTGACATCTGAAGGGTCTGACATTTCACAGGGAGAAATCTGACATTTCACAGGGAGGGAGCTACTACCTAGAAGGCCCACTGCCTGGTTCCTGTAACTTCACTTCTCACAGTGAGGGAACCAGCAGAATACCCTCGGAGGAGGACCTCAGTGTCCAAGCTGAGTGATGGGGGTGGAGATGCTCCTTCAGCTCCTTCAACTGGGCCAAGGCCGTTTAGGGCTTTAAAGGTCAGCAGCAACACTTTGAATTGTGCTTGGAAACATACTGGCAATGGTGGGGGAAGGGGGGAAGGGGGCAGTACACCCTGGGTGCCATCCCTGAGGTGGGGTGACATCATCATGCTGCCCCCCCAATGTTTGCCGCCACCCCGGACGCTTGCCATGCTGGCAGCTAGCAGCGCCCCCCCCATTCTCGCTGCATGAGCGGCAGACGGCTAGGGACACTCACCGCGCAGACGGCTAGGAACACCCCCACGCTAGGCCCCCCATGCTAGCCCTGCCCTCACACCAGCCCCACCCCCATGCCGCTCCAGGTGCTGGAGCAGGTAGCTCTGCCTCTGCATACTGGGAGCCAATGTAGGTCTTTCAGGACTGATGTTATATGGTCTCAACAGCCACTCCTAGTCACCAGTCTAGCTGCCGCATTCTGGATTAGTTGCAGTTTCCAGGTCACCTTCAAATGTAGCCCCACGTAGAGTGCATTGCAGTAGTCCAAGCGGGAGATAACTAGAGCATGCACCACTCTGGCCAGACAGTCCGCAGGCAGGTAGGGTCTCAGCCTGCGTAACAGATGGAGATAGTCAACAGCTGTCCTGGACACAGAATTGACCTGCTCCTCCATGGACAGCTGCGAGTGCAAAATGACTCCCAGGTTGCACACCTGGTCCTTCAGGGGTACGGTTACCCCATTCAGGACAAAGAATTCTCCCACTCCCACCTGCCCCCTGTCCCCAAAGAACAATATTTATGTCTTGTCAGGATTCAACCTCAATCTGTTAGCCACCATCCATCCGCCAACCGCCTCAAGACACTCACACTGGACTTTCACCACCCTCACTGGTTCTGATTTGAAGGAGAGGTAGAGATGGGTATCATCTGCATACTGGTGGACACCCAGCCCAATAAGCATGATCATTGATTGGTGGCAGGGATTTTGACCAAAAATTCATTTGTTATAAACTTCTCTACCCATGCGCAGAAACTCTTTCTTTTTCTTGTAAGCTGGAGAGCACTCACAGTGATAATTGTTCCCTTGCATTTGAGGTCAGCATTATGAAATGCCAAGATTCATATTTCTAAGTTGGGATATGCAAAGCTCAGTGACATCTTTAAATAGCATACTTCTCTCAAAGCAAAAAGGAGGTGAGAACTGGGAAGGAAGGAAGTTTTCTCCCTAACTTTCATGAACACCATGCTCCAGCTTCTGACAAAGAGACAAACCAATGCGTATCTAGCCAGCACATCAACATGAATTTCGAATTTGTGTTTGCTCCTTTTGTGAGATGTTTTGGGCTTCATTCATCTCTCTGATCTTGAACTTTGGTCTGGATATGTGAGATTGGGATTTTTGCTCCAATATGAATCACTTTACACTTTCTTACATTAAACTGCATTTGCCATTTGTGTGCCATTTGAATTAGAGTATTCCACCCAAAGCTGTTTGCTATCCCATTTTGGTTTTGCCAATCTAAATACCGTATTTTTCGCTCTATAAGACACACTTTTCCCCTCCTAAAAAGTAAGGGGAAATGTGTGTGCGTCTTATGGAGCGAATGCAGGCAGGAGGCTCTGCTCAGCACTCCCTTTAAAGAGCTGCGTGGAGCCTGTGTGCGGCTCTTTAAAGGGAGCGCGGCTCTTGGGGGGAGCCTTAGCCACGCGCAACCTCTCCCGGGCAGGGGATGAAGGCTCCCCTTGCCCGGGAGAGGCTGCACGCAGCTATCCCATAAGCCAGGACAGCAAGCGGGATCGCTGCACAGTTTCCAGGTCACCTTCAAATGTAGCCCCACGTAGAGTGCATTGCAGTAGTCCTGGCTTCTGGCTTCTGGGATTCAGAAATTGCCAGAAATATCTTTTTTCTTGTTTTCCTCTTCCAAAAACTAAGTGCATCTTATGGTCTGGTGCGTCTTATAGAACGAAAAATATGGTAAAATCCTGACATTTGATGTCAGGAAATCTGACCAGCTCACTGATCACCCCTATCAGTCCTTCTTCACAGGAAACACTGAGAAGTGTAGCTCTTTGAGGAGAATAGATGTCCCCTAACAACTCTCAGCACTCCCAGGATTACTGGGGGGAAGCCATTACTGTTTATAGTGGTACTGCTTTAAATGTATAATATGGATGTTGTTGTTGTTTATTTATACCCCAGCCACCCTGGGTGGCTTACAGCACATAAACAATTGTAAAACATTAGACATTAAAAACTTCCCTAAACAGGGCTGCCTTCAGATGCCTTCTAAAAGTCAGATAGTTGTTTATTTCCTTGACATCTGATGGGAGGGCGTTCCACAGGGTGAGCGCCAATACCAAGGAGGCCTTCTGCCTGGTTCCCTGTAACCTCACCTCTTGCAGTGAGGGAACTGCCAAAAGGCCCTCGAAGCTGGACCTCAGTATCTAGGCTGAACGATGGCAGTGGAGACGCTCCTTTGGATGGAGCCAAAGACTGGCATGAGATCAGTGCTAGCTCCACAAGCCACAGAGCTCTATTCCTTTCTACACTTCCATCAGTCCCAGAGGAGTAATACCAACAGGAGTGCAGGAAGCTGTGAGAATGTTAGGAACCAAGTTACATTTTTCATATTAGCTGATTATAACTGTGGAGATTGAATAAGAAAGAAAGAATCACACTTGGAAAGATATTACCTTTTTGTACCTTATCTGTTAATATTTGTGTCCTTGTTTATATGTGGGCTGTTGAGGGGAAATGGCAAACTACGTTTCATTCACATAAAGAAAAATAATAATGTAAGAACTATTCCTATTGTCAAAAATAAATAAATATGGCACTCCATTCCTATCAGCTAGTTTGAAATTGAAATTATTCTGGACACTTTTCGAAAAGAACTTTTCTGATTGCTGAAGAATTGCTTTAAGTAAATATCAGCATCAAGATATTTTCTTTGAATATGGAATGTGATGTGTGCCGAGAGGCTCAGCTCTAGCAGGTAAGATTCATTCTTGGCTCTCTCCCTTGACCCAACTACACTATGTAAATACTATTTTCTCATTATGGAATTTTAACTAAACACAGACTGGCACCTTGGCCCAAACATTTTAGTCAGTGGTGGATCCTGGAAT